GACTAGTCACTAATGCAAGTTTATATCTTAATTCACAATACATTGCAATAGACATTATAAAGACGTCACTTCGGTAGAGGTCGATCTGTTCAGTTGTACTGGTAGGTTTGACATTGTGTATCAAATAGCTACATGAAGCAATGCGGAAATGTTGACCGACATTGGAAAGTCCAGTAGAATTCAACTCATTTATAAACACCTTAGGTGTGAAAAAAAAAGGCGCAGCCAACAAAAGATTGAGTGTGCCACATAATTGAAATAAATCAAAATTAGCCGCTACTCTGGTAGCTACACTTATAGCATTGATAAGAATTTTACAGCAAATATTCATTCATTAATTAACTAGACCGCGTTTTGACACCTAATTGTAGGTAACAAAGAGCTATCAGTGTACCAAATTTGATTTAAAAAATCCACGAAAGTTAAGTGTGTTTTACTATCACATAAAGTTTGTACTTTTGGTGCAAAAAAAAAAAGGAAGGAAGTTAGAAGAGTGTGTAATAATTTATTTGTATACCAGTACTTTGAATATACAGATACCAGTGCAGCAAATATAGCTGACGTTTCTACACCATGTTTCTTGCTTTTACACCAAAAGAGTCATTGATATTTTATAAAGTTACAATTTCAAAGTTTCGAGGAATCAGCCATACATATTATTGATGCCTTTTTTCACGGTTACTTGATTAAAGTGTATATCAGTTAAATATACCGCTAAACAAAAAAAAAAAAATCTGATTGAATGAGTTATAAGAGCCAACATTTTTGAAATATTGTTTCTTAAAGAAATCGAATATTTATTTACGACGTTAGTTGAGAATTTACAAAAAAAAAAAGACAAAATTGTAAGAGTGATTTTTTAAAACTAGGGTTTGGTATTAAAAGAAAACTGGAGTTGTAAACAATTTATATAATCAAAAATAATAACGTGTGCGCGTGCGTGGGAAGATTTTGAAAACTTCATTAAACCGTAAAAATGAAAGTAGGAGGACGGACAACGTCGTCATATGCGTAAGGGAGAGGTGGTTGTAGATAGTACTATGCATTGCAAAGGGAAAGGTATTTGGGGAATGAATTTGTCATCTCTGGGAGTCCTATCTGAAACAGTAGTGTTTATGTGTTAAGGTTTTGTATGTTAATTTGTTTATAGACACTTAGAGTACCGGTACCGTAACCATGTTGAGTTTTAATATTTGCCCCCATGCCCAGGTTCTGAAAGTGTCGCTAGATCTGGTGTGTTTGTCTCTTACTAGATAAGTCGATCGGTTTGTCATGTTTATGTGTTAAGGTTTTGTATTTTAATTTGTTTATAGACACTTAGAGTACCGTAACCATGTTGAGTTTTAATATTTGCCCCCATGCCCAGGTTCTGAAAGTGTCGCTAGATCTGGTGTTTCTGTCTCTTACTAGATAAGTCGATCGGTTTGTCATGTTTATGTGTTAAGGTTTTGTATGTTAATTTGTTTATAGACACTTAGAGTACCGGTACCGTAACCATGTTGAGTTTTAATATTTGCCCCCATACCCTGGTTCTGAAAGTGTCGCTAGATCTGGTGTGTCTGTCTCTTACTAGATAAGTCGATCGGTTTGTCATTTTTGATCAGACCATTCGGCATAAAATGTTTTTCGTACTAGAGGTGTTTGGTAGGTATCACGTGCTGCGAAATAGATTTAACCTACGTAGGTGTAACCTCGCACTCATTGATATACTCACTCGGCCATCAGTTTCGTTCAGAACTCTAACTTTATACTTGTGTAGTCTAGACAGGCCACTTAACTGTTTTAATTACTTTAAAAACAAAATACTACAATAAAAAAAGCACGAGTTTCCCCTAATTATGTATATAAAGGCGCATTTCAGTTGTTACTGGCTGCTGAAACATCGTGTCATCTGATCTATATTTTATTGACAGTATACCGTGCGTACTAATTAAGTGAATAGGCGTTCATGTCATTTGTATATAAAGTTTGACGAGATCTAAGAATATACACTCAGGAACTAATTATTTTATATTTATTACGGAAGAGGCTATTATAGAAGCCGGACAGCTAGTTAATTGAAGTGCCTGCGAAACACGCTGCTAAATATAGTACGCCTTCTGCACTAGTAACTACTGGAAATAGTTTCTATTTTGACCGCCGATATCGCGAGACGTGTTGCAGTGCATGCACTGAGGACACGTAGATTACTCAAGACATATTTTATTGTTTACCAGTCTGTCTCGTGACTCTCTCGTTTGTTTGTTAGGTTGTGAAAAGTGATTGTTGTATATAAAATTTTATAAACAGTTATTGGTGGGAAAGTAGGTTTATTTGGATATAATGTTGTGTGTCTAACAATGAGAAACAACAATCAAAATAATTTTATGATGCTAACTCTGTCTGTTATGTTTATGTAAATAACACAAATATAATTGATAGTTATGTTTAGTTTATGTTAGATTTAATTCGTTGATTCCTAACGCTTCAGAATTTTTTTTTCCATTTTGTTTAGGCTTTCGTTTACATGCAATGTTTTTAGGGTTTTGAAAGTTACTTTTTTGTTGTTTTTCAGTTTAATGTTAATTTTATTATTTTTGTTTTTCATGATCCTTGAATCTAAGCATTATTTTCCATTCTGTTGCTCCTATACAGAAATTTTTTCAGCCTAAAAATTTTATTTGGTACACTTTGCCTTAAAAAATATTCTTCATTATTATATAATTTTGGTAGAAAGCATTGATACTGGTTCCTGGTTTCTTTATTTTAGTTTTAATGTTTAATTTGTGTTTTTTTACTTAGTTTGTATCATGAGGTAATTAATTTTTCATTAATAACACCTACAAATGGTACTCATATATAAATGCATTTTTTCTTTGTTGTTTTTGTTACTTGTTATTTTTATTTTAATACAACAGGTGGAAGTAGTAATGTCTAAAGTAGAACTATTTGATTGGACCTACATGTAATTTGAATGTATTTCTACTTTGAATGTTGTATGTTATCATGTCACACTATTAGAGATGAAATATACACAAAAAAACTTACCACCAATAGCTGTTTCAAAATTTTTAAATATTTACAATAATTATAAGGATACCTTTTAAATCATTTTTAAGTAGTGATTGATGTATGTTTACAGCCAAAAATTAAATTTTATTCACTACTATAAGGAAATGCAGAAATGATAGCAAGCATTCATTTTAATTTTAATTTGAAAAAAATACTTCCTAAGCACATTTGAAGAGTTAAGCCATTTAATTTAATTTATCTACTATTATAAGCATAATCTTTCTCTCTGTAGACTATCAGTTCATAATTAGGGAAGGCTATGTACGGGTAGCCCTTATGTAGCTTTGCACATAATTCTGAAACAAACAATTTTACTTAAGTACCTCTAAGCTACCCTTTTTGATCTAAGTACTGCACATCTATATATATAGTAGATCTAACAATGATACCTTTACTTCCATTGTCACACGTCTACATTCAAACACTTTTCTCTATTTGTTTTTTATTTTGCTTAGTTATAGAGTGAACTATCCCAAAGCTGTATTTTCATACAAAAAAAAACATCACAATCTCAATGTGCTGTACTGAATGCAAGCAGTTTGCAATACAAAAACAAACATCTTAAACCATGATATTCTATCACAAATGTCACCTTAGCTATTTTCATTTACCATTAGTATTGTTATTCATTTGTTTTTACTTTATCTTAATAGATTTCCATCCTTTTTAATTAAGACTAGTTCAAATATCCCTTCTATGACCTTCGTGGGGTATTAGTGCCACTGGTTGGAAATCATGTAAATTTGTAAAAACAGTTTATCCAATACTTACGCTTCATAAGTATATGGCTGTTCAGATATAAAATCTACCTATTCTTGTGCTTGCTAATGGTGTATAGAACATATTATGAAATTGGTATTTCTTAAGTAATAACACTTTTCTAATGGACTTACTATACAATTAATGGTTTATCATACGTACAACACTTGTTAATATTTAGAATAATACTAGGTAGGTCTTTATTGGAAGGATTTACAAGAGGATTAAAAATAGGGTCATCCTTTGGTGTAATTATTGTACAGTTGGGACGTTGTAACTTAGAAACCATCATAGTAGGTGTTCAGAACAAATAATCAACTTCCTAGCAACAAAGTACAGATCTGCTGAACAGTGCACTGTGGAAACTACCGTAAGGATAGACTGTCATAAGTGTCTACAGGTGTGAAATTTTATATCAATGTGGGTTATAGATACTGGTGAGTTGTTTGAGCCAAACCATACCTATTTTTAATGTTAGTGTCCATCAGAAGGCTTTTCTCAAGTTATCACTTCTGGTGGATACAGGTTATACTGAGACAGATATTTACTGATCTGTAGAATTAGAACTCAACTGAACTGCATTGAGTATGTATGTTTCACTGTAAAATGTCCATTGAATAAAATGATTTACTAAGAGGTTTGATCAGCAAAAACAGAACTGTAAGCAGAGGTGTCCTTAATTTCTGTTATTTGGCTGGACATACCGCATTGCATGCTGTTCACTATTAAATGTCATGTATCAGCTTAAGAACTGTTTGTAATTGTTATTATTTGTCTGGTAATAATTGGTATGTTATGTATGTAGGATCCAGTTTATATTTTATAAGTTTACCATGAGCAGTTACCATATCAAAACACCAGCAGGTAATATCTAATATAAGATGCAATTGACTCATTGTATAAACAATATAGACTAGTTGACTCCCTTCAGTACAGTAGCCATTTTGAATATCTGTAATAGTGCTGCCACCTGCTCTGTTTATGCTTTTAGTATTTAAACATTCTTAATAATTTGTAACAGCCAATGGACACCATTATTATGACATCATTAAGTTTCAGAAACATAATTTGTGGACAGTAATTTCAAACATGCTTGAAATTTGTTAATACTTTGCTGTTATGATTACCTTATGCTATGCATCTTTTCTTATTTGATTAAAAATAAAATCAATGTTATTTCTGTAACTCAGATGCAGGGGATGGACGGGAAGTACTGACTGAAGGTCATCATGAATTCCCATTTTCTTTCGAGCTTCCGTCTGGGTAAATATAATTGTTAGAAACAGCATTATTATAGTCTTTTTTTCTGTTGTTGTTTTTAAAGTTTAAAATATTTCTGACAATTTTTTGTTAAATATTATCTAATTCTGATGCTATTTCAGACTGTAAAATTATTTTCTCTGGAAAAAAGCAGTTTTTGTTTAAGACATTGTTTAAGTTAGTTCTCCATATATCCAGTGCTGTGTTTCTTTTAAGAAACCAATGAAAAAAGTGTCAAAATATCACTATGTATTTCTGAGTATATTATTTAGTGTCATACTCAAAATTTTGTAATATTTATCTATTAAGTGATTTTTCTGAACTTAATAACTAGTTAAAAAGTGGGCCAAGCATGGATAGCTCTAGTTGTTAGCAAGCTGGGATACAGATTGGAAAGTCCAAGGTTCAAGACCATAGTATGCCATTGATCATGCTCTACAGCTTAGCTGGGGGCATGTGATAAATGTTAGTCAGTTATGCTTTCAGCTAAGAGTAGAAACATAGTTATTGATTGTTGCCTTGCCCTCTGGTCAACAGTTCTAAATTAAAGGTGACTATGCCTAAACCTTGAGGTTTTTAACTTGACTGTTTAGTCTATGTGTTGTACAAGGTGCTATTTAGGCTGAAAAAAGTCAAATACTAGATATTAAGAAACTTTTAATCAAATAAAATGGTACACAAGTTATTTAATTAATTTGACTGTTTTTATATAATTGTCAAAATTTCATATTATTAAGAGTGTTTAAAATGAACTTCTCAAATTTACCTGTTTTCTATATATCTTAGGGGAATTTCTACATCATTTGAAGGCAAATATGGCAGCATACGGTACTGGTTGAAGGCAGAGGTGGAGAAACCATGGGCATTTAATCACAAGACCAAAAAGGCTTTTACTGTAATTAGTCCTATCAACATAAATAGGACAGAGTACGTGGTAGGTGATAAAATAATGAGGAAATATCATAATGTTACACGTGTGATAACCATTGTTGTTGATATTCTTTTCCAAATGCTGAAATCTGTAGTCATCCATTACCTTGTTTTTTATAGGGTCCTTAATAACCTGACTTGCAGTTCTTTCTTTACGAGAGTGTTCTGACAAAAACAAAATTTAGACCCTATAAAAATAATGTGGTAATTTGAAGTTTAATAAGAAAACTTTACAGCCAATCGATCAGTCAGTATATCATGGATAAGTTAATTGGAGACAAAGTGGTAATATTTTAGAGATTTATTGATAAATTGTGTGCATTGTTTTACAAGTAAAGAAAAGAACATATCTTAACCCTATGTGCATGGGTAAGGGTCAAAGTGTGCATGCTAAAATCTTTTACAGAGTGCCATTCAACATGGTTTTATGCATTTGATTTAGTGATAGTTCATGGAAGAGGAGAGTAAGTACCAGATAAAATTTACAGAGATATGGCCACAAACTGTAGATATTCATATCAGAGGTTCTAGAGGTTATACGATTGCTATACTCAAACTGTATGATGGGCAAAAGTATTTTTATTCTTCACATGAAAAACATTGTGCACTTTTACTTGTCAGAGTCAGACTGATGTTGTGAGATCACATACATAAGTTAAGTACATGTGCATTTGTCACATGTCTGAATTTTTTTGTGCACAACAGACTTCTACATTTTATTCAAAGCTTGCTATTTTTCATGTAGATACACATAGTAAATTATAGTCATCATTTTTTCTCCAAGTGTTGTTCAATGGACTGAGCCTATGCACATTGGTTAAAATATCTTTAAATTAATAGTATTAATTAGAAGTATGTGTATTTTTTTTAAATTTATATGTAATACTTAGACTTCAGCCAACAGGTTTTTTGAGGTAAACATTTCTTGCAGAAAAATTATATTTACAATTCCACAACTCTTATATTAACTGTTAATTTATATCAAAAGCAGGAAAGAGAAAAAGAATAATAAATAATTTAATAAATTCATAAAATTTCAAAGGGATAAAAAGAGCTTATTAACCCATCAAGGATGTCCCTTCCAGCTGCCAACTATAACCTTCCCTTACTACTCATGTATTCATCCATTCTTTTCTTGAACTTAGTTAAATTTTCTGCCTCCACCACCTTTAAAGGCAGCTCATTCCAAAAGCCAACCACCCTGGTTGAAACGTAATACTGTCATGTATCAAAAAATTAGGCCCCTCTATGAGTTTGTATTTGTTAGATACTGAAAACTGATATTAAATTATGAAACTGCATATCCATATTTAATTTGTACATATAACATTCCTATGCTTTTATTACAAGGTACCCTAGATTAAATAGAATTTGGACGATTAATGAAATAAAAATTACACTGTTATTCTCTGTGACCTTATTAAAACTTGACCTTTAAATTAACACTACTGGTATTCCTGTTGAGACAAAAAAATGATGTGCTTGAGACTTCTGTTGTTAGTGTCACTTATCTTTCGTGGGCATTACCTTGAGATTGTACTTAAATATTCAGTGAATTATTAATATTGGCTTATTGGGAACTATAGCACAGAAATTTGTTACATCATCATATCCTTGTTTTTATTTTTCATAAGTACCATGATTAAAATAGTTCATTCAATTGTAATGTCATATTTTTGTGAGACCTTGCTGTTTGACAGTTTATGAAACGTATACATAGATTATTGTACTTTTTTTAGTGTGTCATCTATGGAGAAATGATTTTTTATTTAAAATTGCTGTAGAAGAAATTTTGCATCGTTCTTGACCTGTAATAATATTTTATTTCTAGATGGCAGTTGAGAACAGCATAGAGAAAACATTATGTTGTTTTTGTTGTACGTCGGGGCCCATATCACTGTATGCTCACACTGACAGAAAAGGTTACTGTCCAGGTAAGGCACTTTTAAACTTCTGGGAATATTAAGTCAGCTTAGATAATGATTTTCTTCTTGTTTGGAAACTTGCATCAACATAGTACTGTTTACATAATAAGCAACAAGTGATTGCAAGTTTTTGTTTATTGTTAAGTGTCATCAGACTCGTTGAATTTGCGTTTTTTTATTTCTTGTACTAAGTAATTTTTACTGTTTATCTTAGATTTGGTTGATATACCTTACAAATATGTATTGTGGTGATTTGACTAATTGTATATAACTTACAAATATTTATTGTGGTGATCTGACTAATTTTATATAACTTACAAATATTTATTGTGGTGATCTGACTAATTTTATATAACTTACAAATATTTATTGTGGTGATCTGACTAATTTTATATAACTTACAAATATTTATTGTGGTGATCTGACTAATTTTATATAACTTACAAATATTTATTGTGGTGATCTGAGTAATTGTATATAACTTACAAATATTTACTGTAGTGATCTGAGTAATTGTATATAACTTACAAACATTTATTGTAGTGATCTGATTAATTGTTTTTTCATAGGAGAATCTATAGCTATCACTGCTGACTTTGAAAATCTTTCCTCACGAACCATCATTCCTCATGCGACCCTCCACCAAACCCAGACATTTGTAGCTGGTGGGAAGTCTCGCTCTCGTATTTCTAAGTTCACCATAGTCACAGGCCTAGCTATCCAGCCAGGAAGGACAGCCAATTGGGATGCTCAGCTTCTGAAGATTCCAGCAGTATCACCTTCTATCATCAACAGTTGCCTGATAAGAGTAGATTATGCTGTTAGGGTGAGCTATTCTATCATCAACAATTGCCTGATAAGAGTAGATTATGCAGTTAGGGTGACCTATTCTATCATCAACAATTACCTGATGAGAGTAGATTATGCTGTTAGGGTTAGCCATTCTATCATCAACAATTGCCTGATAAGAGTAGATTATGCAGTTAGGGTGACCTATTCTATCATCAACAATTACCTGATGAGAGTAGATTATGCTGTTAGGGTTAGCCATTCTATCATCAACAATTGCCTGATAAGAGTAGATTATGCAGTTAGGGTGACCTATTCTATCATCAACAATTACCTGATGAGAGTAGATTATGCTGTTAGGGTTAGCCATTCTAT